TTCCTCTCACAGCCCCACTCCGCTTTACCTCATTCATTTTCATATAATCCGCCACTTCCAATCCCTCTTAACTCCACCAGCATCCCTTTAAATCAACCCCCCCGTCCCCCCTCCATCACTCCTTTTTCCCTTCTTCTTTTCTCTGTCTGATAATGACACTGGAAAGTTCACCTTTTAAGGACGGAGCTGCCGGTGAATGCTGCATGTGGCACTGGACTGGCGCATGTGCTGCTACACGGGGGGGCTGGGGGGGGTACGGTGCATGGTGAGCACTGTGGAAGACCCGAGGCCGGGCTGGATCTTCAGCATTCGGGGACTATAAATCCACCTGAGCTCAAGCTCTCGTCTCTGCCGTTCTCCAAACTTTTAAATGGGTCAAAAATGAATATTGCAGAATCACTCAAGTTTAAAAATGCAGCTGAGGCAGAGCAGTAAGAACGATCATGTACGTCGCGCCAGCAACGTTACCACGGGCCTTGTTGCCTTAACGATGTTTTTTAGCGTTTTTGCAGACAGGACCCCTTAATTTATTCATGTGCTGCCATCCCACGCTGCTCACAATAACACAGCCCCCCGACAAATATAAATCTAATATTTACTTGCCGTAAGCTGTTTGATTTTGCATCCTAAGAGAGGTCAGCTCCTCTGAGATTTGCTGGAAAACACAGCGGTTTACACAGTATATCATAAAAAAACACATACCGTTTATTCAAGGGCGTCTTCCAGCACTGCAGCTGTAGATTCAGAGGACAGTGTAATACAAGTGAAGCCCCTTTTTTCCCATTTTTCTGGGTTTGTAGGAATTAACTGCGTGGCATAAACGAAAAAAAACAAAAACCAGCGCCACATGCCAGGAGACAGAAGTAGTGGCAGTGTCCTTGTTTTGTGGCCCGCCGGGACCCCACAGTCCTCCCTGCGTCCCAGAGCCGCCACTAGGCTCCAATCAAATATTCATAGTGGTTCTGCCTCCCTGTATCAGCCTCACGCTGCCTCCCTGGCGTGCTGCAGGCCTCACTCCGCCCTTCCGTGTCCATGCACACAAGTGCGACCACTTCCTACCTCGCCCTTTACTCCGCAGGAGGTACACGTGTCGTTTTAAAAATCTGTCCCGGCCCCTTAACATTCAACACTTGAGGAAAAGGCAAACCTTTTAAGCTTTAAGCGTTAACCCCCAACCTCGCTTTCTGGGGCCTGTCTATTGCCTGTCTATCTTCACGTGAACCCGAGCCCGTCCTCGCCTCTCGCCCTCAGTTGTGCATCTTGTGGGGATTAGTAGCGGTGGTTTTGTTTTAATCTCTTCCCTCTCTCTCTCCTTGCTTCATGTGTAATTTGTGGCAAGGTAAGGAGCACCCTTTGCTTCTCAGCCTTCGGTTTAAATCAAGCAGCCTTTTTGATTTTTCAGGTGGCGCTTAGAGATTTTTTTCTTCGTCTCCGTTTTTTCTTTTTAGAAACCTGGCAGTTTTTTTTGTTAAACATAGTAGTTTGCCACTTTGACAAATCAAATCTGTTTAGAAGAAGCAGAGTGAATCCGCTCCTCATCGCCTCTCTTCTCTCCTGATCTGCAGGGCCAGATGCATGAACTTTCTTTATGACCCCTTTTCCTCTCCGCAGTAACAAGCAGCCTTCTGGAAGAACGACGGCACAACAATACGCTATGCAACATTCATGCATCCTCCTCCCCTGACTGTGCTTACCTAACTTAAAGCAGGAGACACTACATCGGAAAAGTTAGACGTGATGGTTGATCACTGTGACAAAGCCTTGAAGATGCACCTCGATAAATGACGAATCATTATTTAAGGCTCCGCTAGACTTTGAATTACGTCCCGTGTTCGGAGAAAAAGATGCAAAATCTCCGGAAATAGTGTTTTTATGTAACTTGGCTGGCTGTTGATGTGATCGCTTCTGATTAGACTTCCAATTGCACTCAGCCCCCTTTTTAAAAACGATCCCAGCGAGGCCTCACGTCTCGCTAACGGAGAGCGAGCGGAGGAGCGGCAGGTTAAAGGCACCAGCATTTCCCCAAATGATGCCGCGTATTCGCTTTGTGACGTTACATTATGCAACGTGTGACTGTTCATCCTCGATGCAGGAACCGCCCCAGAGTGGAAAACATCTAATATTCTAACCTTCATTAATGCTCTAAAACACTGACGTCTGGTTCGCAGACTCTGAAGACTTAAAGTTCAGATTGAACAATTCCTATGTAAACACTCTTCTCCCGAAAGGTTGGAAGCATCAGTGCTTACCTGCAAATATACTTTGGCTATTGTTCATGTCTCGACACCACCCACATCTCTCGCTGCTGCTTCCCTTTGGGTGGATGTGCATCTCTCTGATGCACTTGGACCACCTTTGCTCTCCGTATTTTCAGCGTAGCGGCGCGGTGATGCTTGGCGCTCCCGGTGTGCCTGTGGGCAGTTTTCATTGCTGTGAGGGATTATGGGTATTATGCTCCTCAGAGGGCCACCGTCTGCAGTATCACCCTTCCTCTCCCGCCGTTACTCTCCATTAGAGAGCAGGCGGAGGTCTAATCCTCCTGCAGGCCCCCGCGGAGTTCTTTGAGGCCCCGGGCTTGGTCGCAGGCACGGCAGCCATCTTTGTTTTCGACGGGCGGGTTTGCATCGATGGAAAACAAAGCAGCGGCGAGGCGTGTACCAGATGGGTCAGACTTTAGGGACTTGGGATTTTAGATGTCTGCATAACGAGCCTGGTTCCTTTCAGGTGGGGTGGTGGAAGGTACTGACAACCCGCGCTCTTAACTCCCCAACGTGCTCTTTCCGCCTCCGGCTGCTTCACCCGACCCATTGCTTTGCCAAAAGGCCCTTTTACTGCAGAGGTCAAAGTCAAGTGAACGCAACCTGCCCGACGTAGCGTGAAGACGTAGCAGACGTCGTGAATGCTTGTTGCGCTGTTTTCCCGCTCGTCTCCGCCTCTGACGGGTGGTTCTCTCCTCTGTGTTTGTCATTGCAGCAGCTAAGTCCTTGCTCAACAAGAAGGCCGATGTCAAGGTAAGGACCGCCACTCTCCCCTTCTCCTCTCGCGGTTTTCTTCTCCGTCCCTCTATTGGATTCTCTCCTGCTCCTGCTCTCTTTTCTCTGTACTCGAATGTGTTTGTTGCTCATTAATTTTGTGTCGTGTCGTAATCCCAGTGGATGTGTTGTTCGTCTGTGTCCACTGTAACCGCATGCAGCACATCCTTCTGAAGAGCACCCTTTATTTACATTCGGCTCTATCCAGCTCATTGCCACCTCTCCATCTCCATTATTGAATGCAACCATCTGTCGGCCTCCCCGTTCCTTTTTTTTCTCCGCCTCTCATCCCTCCATTTCTGTCTCTTTCTCCTCTTTTCACTGCCTCCTCGTTCCATGCTCACCCCATCTGCTCTTTAACCCCACATTCTAGTTCATCTTTTAATGAAGATCTCCTCTCACCGTCCCACACACACACACACACACACACATCCCACACAGAGCTTCCATCAATGTGCCAACTTGTTTGTGTGTGTGGATGCGCGATGGAGTGCGACAAAGCCGGGAACGCCGTGTTCATGCAGAAGAATGCGTTCGCTTCTCGAGCCTTTGCAGACGAGCTTTGCGTGCGCGCGCGCCGTTGTGTGTTGTGTGTTTGCGCACGATGCAAATGTGACTGTGTGTTTGAGTGTGTGAACACATCACATTGGTTTGTCAGTTTGAAAGTGTGTGTGTGTGTGTGTGTGTGTGAGTGTGGAGGGGAGGGGGGGCGGAGCCTGCCTGCACATCGAGATGTGCGTAAGCGTGGGTGTCCGGGTGTGTGGTTTGCCCGTGTGCAGCAGTGTGTGCGTGTCTGTCTGTCTGTGTGCACATCTCCTCCCCCCCCCTCCCTCCTCCGCCACTCGTTCTCCCGGTTCAGTCGGTTTCAGCCGGGAATGTGACTCCGGCTCCCGGAATAGCTGCCAGTCTGGACCCTGGAAACTCGGAAGACCGAAATAGACGCTCGCTTCCACTGCGGCGCGCTCATCGCCTAGCAACAGGCTCCCCACACACCCGCCCCGGACCATTTCTAACGGCGCCTCCCGCGTTTGCTGCCGTCCCTCCCTCTTCTCTCGTTTCTGCCCGCCCCGTGTCCTCTTGGCGACTCTGGCCTCCTCTCCTCGGCCTCTTCCTCCTCCTCCTCCTCCTCCTCCTCCTCCTGCAGGTTCATTAATGCGCGGTGGCACCTGCTGGGAGCGAGCCGGCTGTCTCCATTCAGCAGCTCGTGCAGTGCTGTGCCTAAAACATCTCTCACGTCACTGCGGGGGTTTGACAAAACCGCAACAGAACTATTACCATGACACCAGAATGCACGAGGATGAAAATGCATCCTAGACGTGTGGGTTCCAGGGTTTATTTGAAGTGATTGAGCCAATTCAATCGCAGAGAGGGCGCTTCCCACAGGATGCATGTAGCATTTCCTTTCCACTTTACCTCCGTCTTGCTACTTGCGGATTACGAGTGGGTCACTTAAGTCCTCTTCCTGATTGCTTCCACTCAAACCACCGCTCTTTTTTTTTCCCCTGTGCTTGCTCCCCCACTTCGTCCGCGATGAAATACTCCTCCTTCTTCTGCTTTGTCCGAGCTGTATCGAAAAAGGCTGATGCTTTTTCTCGTGAAGGGTTGAAATCTGCGGGCAAGTTTAAGATTCTTTCTACTTTGTGACAGTCCATTCACTTTTTTTTTTGTCATTCGTTACTTTTCTCTCCCTTCCTCTGCCGTCCATCAAAAAATCCATCCATCCATCCCATCAATCGCCTGCTGACAGAAACGCAAGTCCAGCTCCACCGTCCAGTACATGGTGAGCATGCTATTTATGCATTTTGCCCGGTCACTCCTTCCCACTTTCTCCACTTTTTAACTGCTGCCTCCTTCCTTTACCTTTGCTCTATTTATGGAGTCTCCTTCACTTCCCCACGTGACGCTACGGCTGGAATCACAAACACAGAATGTCAGACATCAGGAAATGCCTTGCCGAGTGCACATTGCCGTCAGAGTATCCTTGACATGTCTCCGGGAACACGGTGGAGGCAGGATATTTTTTTTTTTTAAGCTCCGTTACTCCAGGGAATCTGCTCCAGATCTGTCACACTTTTAGAACAGAGGCAGAGCTGCCGGCTTGCAGTTGAGAAACAGACGTCTTCGGTCCTACAAGACGATCTCCCAACAAAAAGTAGGAGGAGTAGAAACCATCCAGCAACTGACCGCATTCACAGAAACTTGCATGAGGACAATATACAAAACAGCAACACTCATCTTATTTGAGTCGATGCAGTTAAATGGTCGGAACCCTTAAACCAGCCAGCAGGTTAATAAAAAACACTTGAAATAAACCTTCTGCACCCACCAGTTCCAGTGAAAAGCTTTTCATTCGGCGCCCTCGTGCGCCAGGAGCCTTTGATTGACTCGACGGAGGCCGAGCTGCTCGGGGATCAGCGGCCCGCCGGGGGGCTTCTCTCCCCTCTGATCCGGCATGTGACCTTTGCTCTCCTCACGCCCGCCGTCTCTCTCCCACCTCCTCCTCCTTTGTTCTCCCAAATCGCTGCTTTCTTCGCCTCCTGGAGAAACACCGGAGAATACTTTCACCCGCTTTTTTTTTTCCTTCCTCTGTTCGGCATCGTTAAGTCTGCGTGATCTCCTCTCGACAAATACCTTCGAGCTCGAACACGTCGACCGATGTCAAAGGTTATCGTCAGACCCTCTTGGGATATAAGAGCGGTTTTCTCACCAGAGACAGCGGCTTTGATGAGGGACTCGTTTCCCGTTGCTCCTCAGGGTCCTCAGGTGATGGATGAAGACGGCTGTGGTTGGTTTTAGTGTGTGTGTGTGTGTGTGTGTGTGTGTGTGCGTGAGAGCTCACTGTCTGTTTGTGTGTTTCCACATATCAGCTTATTTTCCACTCACAAGATTCTAACTGGCTGTTTTGTGTTTGTACGTTTCGTTATGTCTCTTTGCACTTGTGTGTGTGTGGTGGCGTCCGAGAACTCTTCCTCTCCTCTTCCTCTTTCTCTCCTTCCTCTTCCTCTGTCTCTAAGTCAATTGGTTTGGCACGGAGTTTATTTTCTGCAATAATCCAAAATCCATCGTAGGAATCCTGTTGGCTTCTTGTTGAGGGAAACGTTGGGATGCTGACTTGCATCATCCCTGCAGCACCTTATTATCGTCAACACATGTGCAACTGTGACCTCACGCAACATTAATGACATTGTTTCCGTCCGTCAAGTCAGACAACGGTTACCAAGTTCTGCTCGAAAGTAGATCTTACACAATTCTTTTATTTATTTTATTTTTTTCCCCTAATGTGGGTAGAAATTAATTGATATGATAGAAGTTTGAAACTACTAAGTGGAATTCTGACACCACTTCTTTTGCCATTTTCAACACGGCTCAATGAGGAGTTGAGTAATTCATGACCTCTGTTGACCTCACCGACTAATAGGAATTATCAGATGTAATGGTGCATCCTGATTAGAAGTAATTTAATGTAGATTTAATGCAAATGTCATTATGATCAAACTCAGCGCCAAAGAACTGGCCGCTCTTTGACGTTTGGGCTTACGAAGGTGACTCATTATGGCCAATTAGCGCAGTTCAAGCGCTGCGATGTGTCACCGTAAGCGGCTGAAGTCTTCGGTGACGACGTCGGGATGTCAGGCGGCGTGTCGCCCGCCTCCTCGTGTCACCTCTCAGATCAGCGCTGTGAACAAAACGGGGTTCGGTAACCGTTCGATGCTGCTGCCTGACGAGACCGTTATGTCCCTTCTCTAAATTGTGCATAATCCATTACGGACCTATTGTATAAGTATTACGCCAAACACCCTGTGTGGTGTCTGGCCATGCTGAGTTCGACACACCAGGAAGGATTTGTTTAATTTAATTTAAAAAAAAAGATTGTTCCTTTGCTAAGCCCCGCCCACTCCTACTGCTCCCACGAGCTGTCAGACGTACGTTACCAAGTTGTCACACAGGCCAACGTGAAGAGCTCGTGACACAGACAAGCACACGCGTGCATGGACACGCACTCACGCACCCACGTTTCACTGTTGTTAACGCTCTTGTGTCTCCTCTCCTGCACAGCCCCAGACAAACAGCACCAAAAACAGCATAGTCACCAGCCCCAAAGGAAACGTCCCGTCACCTGCTCTGGTATTTACCTCCTGACGGCCCCTCCGCGCTCCTCGTATGTGTGTCCATCCAGACCCCCTCTGTCTCCACCACCCTGGTCTCCCTACACCGTCACTTTTCTCTCCGCCATGTGGGTCGAGGGTGATCTGTGCCGCCGCCTCAGCCGCGGGTCTCGGTCTGGAAATCGCCAGAAAAAGATTCCCCCCCCCCCCGAGCGTGTCATTTTTTTTCCCAAAAGGGGAACGGACCGCCTGACCGGGGACTGTCGGTACGAATTACCCCCCGATCCTGTGTCGTCCTCTGAGGAGAGGCGGTTCCCCGTCCAAAGGTTGTCCTCAGATTGTCCTTTCAGGCGAGCAGCACGCCAGCTGATTTCAGGGATGTAATTCCTGCACTTTAGCTGAGCGTTGGCGAGATTGTCCGCAACGTAAATTTAAATAGATCGAGGGAATGTGTGCATTTCCACCTGGGAGGACAGTCCAGGCCTCTGGGCTGTTTGTGCTTCCTGTCGTGATCGGTTTGGATCTTTTGTTATTTACATGAGATTTGATTGACCCACTTTGCAGACACACGTATTGTTTTTGGTTCCCTGTCATCATTAATCTGTTTAGATTATTATTATTATCCAGCCAAATCCTGCATGCCGGCTCTGTTTGTCAGGAGATAAAGCGACATGTTCAGGGTGAAGGTTCCTCAACGTGCACTCAAGTGGAGTGAGTGATTTGAATTTAAATGTTGAATACGTTTTTTTCAATATCGCAGTGAAAAAACGAAATACATGCAAGAAAACAAGTAATACAGCACTTTAAAAAATTTGTCAGGGTTTATAGCTATGCATGTACATGAGATTATAACACATCGTTACGTTTATAATGCAAGACATGGGCATCATTGAGAGGATTACCAAAATATCACACACGTGAGATCAGTCTTGATGAAATGGATCATTTCACTTGTATGTACATTTGAGAGGTAATAAGAACAGAATGTTTAGTCCACACGGCAAACCGTGTCAACTGAAGTGCTGGCAACCAAAGGCCAGCTGGCCAACAGGAAGCTCCATCCCAGCATGTAATGATCGTATTTAACTGTTCAGTGGGTCACCGGGACCGGCACCCTGGGGTGCCCCCCCGCTACTTCAGATATAACCTGTTAATGGTCGCTGCCTCGGCTTGAACACTGCGATCAGAACCAACCACCTGCTGTCAGTCAGGGGAGGCAGTTGTCTTGTCCTCTGTTTCTGTGCGTATGTGTGTGTTTTTGTGTATGCGCACGCATGTGCATGCATGTTATGCCCTCCGGTCCCTTCTGCACTTGTGCAGAATTACCATGAAACGCGCTCGGCGGGGAGGTGTGTGTGTGTGTGTGTGTGTGTGTGTGTGTGCGCTCCGGAGTGTGTGCGGAAGCAGAAGAGGCCTCTTTTATTCTGATCCTTGAAGGGAACAGCGAGTGGGAGGACGCCTGTGATCTCCACGCCGTTGCTAGGGACTTGAGCTAGTTACCGCTTAGCCGTTTGGTACAATTAACTCCGTCGTCGCCGAGCTTCTGGGTCACACAGAGACACATTTACGCGACCTCAATTCCCCCGACCTGGAAGAGCTTCTGTGGGGGCGACGCGAGCGAGGGCCGGCGCTCCCTCCTCCTCCTCCTCCTGACCCGACCCCGGTGCCTCGTCCCCCCCCGCTCACCGTCAACCCCCGAGTATTGTTACCGGAGGGGGGCCTGTTGCCCTGGGCGACGGTTGCCGCGACAACGCTGCCATCATCACCGAGGGGGAGAGAGCCGATGATTAGTCACACAGGGGTGTCACTTCCTGGGGGAAGTGAAAGATGACATAAAGACGTGTTCTGGATCGTCGGAAGGGACACGGTGGACTCGCCAAGTTCTAGGACAAAGTGTCTGAAAGGAGCCACCTACTTATAAGTAACTGCAGCAAAGAGAGCGGTTAGTGAACGCGCTGCGTGGAAGAGAGAACGCGGGGGAAAAGCTTCATGGCCGATCTGGTGGAATGAGACACACACACACACGCCGGAAAGAGCAACGGCAATTATCGAACGTCTTCACGAACGGGACGGTGGAATGACACCAGCTCTGTCGGCTGACTTGTGAGATGTGCAGGCTCGTGTTCGTCTTACGTCAGAGCTCATTTGTGAAATATGAGCCGGCGGATCTCTGTGTTTTCATTGCGATCTCATTGATTCAGAACGATGGATGCACATCAGGACAATAAAGACTGTTGTTCTTTCAATAGCCGAGATCAAAAAACAGTCAGTTTTGAATGCAACTTAAATGTCGTGTGTGTGTGTGTGTGTGTGTGTGTGTGTGTGTGTGTGTGTGTGTGTGTGTGTGTGTGTGTGTGTGTGTGTGTGTGTGTGTGTGTGTGTGTGTGTGTGTGCGTGAGAGATAAATTGTGTGAGTACTGATGTGCTCACGGCGGAGTTTCAATACCGTCTCTGACTTTAAATTACGGTTTTCAGCTCATCCACCTTCCCTCATCTCCTTGAAGGATTCCTCCTGCTGTCTTTTTGTCGACCTCAACAGGCGCTTCCTCTTCATCCCTCATTGATATCACGGCCTTTTTTAAATTTATTTCTGCACTTAATCCATCTGTTGTTATGTCACAATCGTTTCTCTTTCTCTCCTTCCTCTCATTTACACCACCTTCCTCCTCCTCCTCCTCTTCCTCCTCTTCCTCCAGGAGCCTCAGACAACCGTCATCCATAATCCGGTGGACAGGACGAAGGTACACGTGTATCATTCCCCAGGCCCGACCTACTCTTTACCATTCTCCTCCTCTTCCTCATCTCCTCCTGCCCTTCACATCCTTCTTTTCATCATCTGTTCAAATGTGTGACGTGTGTGTGTGTGTGTGTGTGTGTGTGTGTGTGTGTGTGTGTGTGTGTGTGTGTTTTGCTTCAGGTTTTGCACTCAGAGCATAGGACCTAGATGGAAGTTGTCAGAGAACTCTGATGGAGTTGAACGATGATATTATATCATATTTTTTAATCATATTTTTATAAAATTTATATTTGGTCACATGTAAAATGTAGTTTGCTGCAGCTCGTGTGTCTGTGTTTAGAGGTTGTGCATGAACCTGCATGACTTTGCAGTACGACCATCTCCCCCGTGGGTCTGTAACATTTATCAGCTGTGTGTGTGTGTGTGTGTGTGTGCGCGCCGCTGTGCCGTTTGTGTCGAGTCGTGACGCACAAACAAACCACGAAATGAATAAGATGCTTAATGTCCCGAAGAAAAGTTAAATCTGAAAACAAACCAAGTGTGATCACACCTCTAATAATATTCTAAAATG